AATTAAGCAGGGCAGGGCCTGGTTAGTACTGTGATGGGAGACCTCTGGAAACACCAGGTATGAAGTGTCTAGCTAACGGAAACAACAGCGGTTTGGCACTTTACGGCGCCTGTAACGCTAACCGTAAGTCTTAGGCAAGACACTTCACCCACATTACAGAGAAAGAGTCTGGTGTGTGTGTGAATGGTTGGTGGTGGTCGAAGAAGCTGATGCTACATACTGGTTGCCTTGCATCTGTCAGTGTGCCCCAGGGCAGCTGTGGCTACAGTAGTAGTTTATAACCACCGTGTATGGAGTGAAAGAATAATGACACATGAATCGTCTTTGAGTGTCCAAAAAAGCACAATAGAACGGACGCATTATCATTATTCATTATTATTATAAAAGACAGGGAACCAAAACTTAATTTTCATTGCATTATTTTTGCCCCTAGTCCTATGTATTATCTTACCAAAGCAAAAAATAAATTAAATACTATTCATTCTTACTTATTTAAAAAAGACTCAAACCATTTGTGTCCTCTGGTAAAGACAGACCCTTGTACCTCCGGTTGGGAAACCCTGACTCGACTTGTGAATGTGTTGTTGAACATGAGAGAAGTGCTTTTAGTCTCCAAAGTGCTAACAGCGAACGAGACCGAGGGAGAGTGATGTCACCAACATCACGACCATCTCGACCAAACTCCTGTCAGAGCTTTTTAGAGGCACTCTGCTCTAAGTGTTCCAGAGTGAACTTTTTCTGCCACCGCCATGATTAAAGCATGAAGGAGCCTCAGCCAGAAACTGCACCATGACCAGAAGAAACAAGAAAGCTGGGCTCATTTTAAAAGTCGTCGAACAAGAAGGAAAAAAACGATGTAGGTCAGTGTAGTGTAGGACGTGCTGCGATCTGTGGAGATTTGGTTTCTGAGTGAGAGGGGGGTGGGAGAAATCAGGGAGAAGTTCTAATTATTCTGGGACACTGGTCAAATGCACTGCTATATTTGTCTCTGGGGTGAGCGGGGGTCTTTATAGCAGGGGTCTCCAAACCGAGATTCTCTTGATGCGGCTGAAAATACATTGAATACTGTGGGAAATGTAACAGACAGAGACGGATCGTGGGGCACCAAAGCTCTGGAAGTTTATTTAGGTTTTTCTCAGGTTCCAGTGGTTTCAGTTTTTTCAGACAGAGTAGAGTCAGCAAACGATTTTTATAGTCATCGTTACGTCACACATCGAAAGACATACGTGTCACATTCAGAGACACTCAGAGGATATTATAGTCATAACATGGATACACTATCAGAGTCCTTGTAGAGTCTTGCGGTGTCCACCTGGTAGGTCATATACAGTGGCTATCTAATCCTCATAATACTTTATAATGGTGACATTGCTTTATGGATATCTAACAGTAACCTATTATCCATTTACAGGTATTCAGAATTAGAACATTGTAAAGTTCATTTATTTCTTTAATTCAAATTAGAATCAGAATCCTTTTTATTGCCATCTGAGTAACAGGAAGTCACAAACTAGGAAATTGCTTTGGCGATGTGAAACCAATATATACTGTCCTTCTTTATTTACAGCTGTGAGCTAATTATAACAAATAAAGGCTTGGTATATCGCACTTTGCATGTCATGATTATATATTGGTTTCGTATTATACAATTACAGAAGTAAATGGATACGATATTCTACTTTTTTAAGTCTCACCTGTAGCGCATTTTTACAGATGAAGTTCACCCAAAGCGCTTTACAATGTTCAGATATTCAGACATTCAAACCCACACACGCCGATGACAGAAGCGAGACTGGCTCGTCAACCCCCCCCCCCCCCCCCCCATTCAGACTTATTGTGAATGTTTTTTAGTGGTAGTGGAAGGAGGAAACCTATGCACACACGGGGAGAACATGCAAACTCCACTCAGAAAGGCTCTGTTCGGATCAGGATTCAAACCCAGGACCTTCTTGCTGAGAAAGGCCGCCCAAGTGCATGCACATGTTTTAGGCATGGCAAAACCTTTGGGGAGCTACTTTAAAGCTATTTTTGTGAGTCATTATTATTGGTTATGAGGATTGAGTTTTGAGAATGTGTTTTGGGGATCGTGATTGACAGGCTCAGCAGCACAAAAGGCTCCTCACAACATTTCAACTCTGCATCTTTGTGTTACAGCTCACAGCTATGGACTCAAAACAGGTTTTGTTCTGCCACACTGTCAGACTGAGGTAGTTCAAGGCAGAGGCTGCAGAAATACTTTAGAACAGGAAGGGAATGATTTGGTAAATTTTAAAAGCATTCGATATAAAAGAGACCTTCACCGTCTCTTTGCTTTTATACGTTCGCTGCAGGTCACACAACACGACTAGAAGAACAAGCATTTGTGTCAAAACTGGAGTAATGTGGAGTTGCAGATCTTGTAAAGCCACACAAAATGTATAAGGATGACTGTTAGTTCATTTCTTCTATAAAAGCTCAATTTGATATTCGGAAATTGCCATGGGAGAGAAATGTAGCTAATCTGACTGTCATACTCTGACTGTCATACATACTGTGTGTGTGTCTGTCTCTCTCTCTCTGTGTCAATCTGTCTTTGTGTGTGTGTGTCTCTCCATCTCTCTGTCTCCGTGTGTCTGTTTGTATGTCTCTCTCTCTCTCTGTGTTTGTGTTTGTATGTCTGTGTGGGTGGGATGTGATAGTAAGAGGGCACCATTAAAATGTTGAGATGATCTGTGGTCCCTTTGGTTCTCTTCCTTTCTTTTTCACTGCTCATTTATGACTTCAGCTAAAGTATAATTGTAGATTGTTGACCTGGTTTTCACACTAAATACACGTCCTCTAATCGCCAGGGGACTCATTTACAGTGGCTCGCAAAAGTGCTAAAAGTACTAAAGCACTTGAACCTTTGGATATTTTGTCCTGTTTACGCCACGGACATACTGTAAGTATCGGAAGACTGTGAAGTGAAGGCACAATGAGACATGATTTTGGTGTTTAAATACAGTATTTCTGAGTGCATAATGAGGCCTTTGAAAATGTCCTAGTGACACGCTCATATTAGATAAATCCACCTACTGTATGTGTGGTCTACTCTCAGTGTTATTAGAGATGTGCGGTGAGGGCCTCAGAGCTGTGTCTACTGTGTATCGGTCACTAAACAGCATCATGAAGTCCAGCAGGTCAATGTGTTAGAACAAGTGGGGGCGGGTCCCAGCTCAAAAGTGGCCAAAATGACGTGCGCTGACATGCTTGCAGTACCACCCCGGCCCGATGGGGGTGGACCCAGAAGTAGAATTAGCCAATGCTAACATATAGCATTGGCAGACCTCTCAAAAACGTCTTTACAGGATGGACCAAAAGTTGGCTCTTGGCCCAAAGCTCGGTTCCACATGCTGAGGGGGGTGGATTTTTTTGGTCCACTCTAGTTTACTTGCTGTGAATTTTTTAAGTCTCTCGTTCAAATGAATGGAGCTGCGCCGGCTGACGCATGCGCAGATGCGTTTTTTCAAATTTTTCTTGTGGGCGGGACCACTCGCGGCCATTTTGGATTGGTCCAGTAGAGCAAATTTTTTGGCCCATTAGTTAGAACGGCGGAGATAGGCGTGACTCTGTCCATTAATATATACAGTCTATGGTTAGAACTTAGAATGGCTCAGTCCTAAAACCAGGGATTAGGGTTAGGGTTAGTTTGTAAATCTGGAAAGTCCTGAAAACTGACCTTGAATCTAATCTGACAAGCTCGAGTTGTCTTGTAAAGATGAATAGGCAAACGGTTTCGGTCTCTAGACGAGTGAATGTTGCAGTAGAGCCATAAGACAGAGGAGGTTTCTCAGTATTGACGTGTGCGGTGTTTATACTCGTGCACGCCCAAGTTTTCAGTGTTTTTTTTTTTTAATAAACAAAATGTGGATGCTGTTACTTTGTTACTAGTAGATTAAAATAAAGTGCCTAAGGTAGTTATCTCCCTTTGGCACTTTAGTAAGACTTTACTTAGTCTTACTTACGGTCATGTAATCAGATTACGTGAACGTACTGTTCATGACACGTTAGTCATCCTCCTGTGACTTCTTTGTCTGTCAGCGCTGTCTCTCTCTCTGGCCTCTCTCTCTCTCTCTCTGGCCGCTCTTACTCTCTCTCTCTCTGGCCACGATCACTCTCTCTCTCTCTCTCTCTCTAGCCGCTCTTACTCTCTCTCTCTCTGGCCACGATCACTCTCTCTCTCTCTCTCGCTCTCTAGCCGCTCTCTCCATCTGGCTGCTCTTTCTTTCTCTCTCTCTCTGGTCGCTCTCTCTCTCTCCCTCAGGCCCATCTTTCTTTGGCCGCTCGATCTCTCTAGCCGCTCTCTTCCTCTGGCCGTTCTGTCTCTCTCTCTGTCTCCCTCTGATTTAAATCTGATTTTACCGATGATCCACTTTGTGTACCATAAAGCACTGATGTTGAAATACACTTCTCATGTTGTCAAACTAGAGTAAAACCACCTGGAAGATGGAATTCAACCGTAGACTGTAAATGCATGTATGTAGTCCATTTAACTACAGCATCAACAACATTCTATGAACATTAAATGATGTGGATCCAGTGGATAGTTTCATGATGGAGAAACCAGCATCCCACAGACTTCTCTGTTGACAGAGGCATGTGTCTGACTGAGACCTTGGATCCCTCTTGTGAAAAATAAACACATTAATTTTAACTCTAGGACTTCCCCCAAAAAAGTACTATATTTGTTTGACCTGAATTAAACCCATACGGTGCATGCTGAAACTGGTATATAGTAATATCAGTGAAATAATGTTGCTATGGTAACTAGATGCTCCAAGCTGATTTTACTCTGAACCCGTCTGAGACCAGTCTCGGATCGAGATAATGTCATAAACATAAACTACTTATGAGTTATCACACGTCAAAACTGAAAAGCCGTCAATTTGACTGCTGTGGGAGTTCTCTCTTGATGTGTTTTCAAAGTGGAACATGTTTCAAATGACGCCTCCTGATGACCTGCTGTGTTTGATGTTCCGCAGATGAGCAGTAAACGTTCCAGTAGCTTCCGTCGAGCCATCGCTAACGGACGGCGCACGCTGCAGAGGGAGATCCTTCTGGACGAGACGGGGCTGGGCCTGTACAAGCGCTTCGTACGGTATGTGGCCTACGAGATCCTGCCCTGTGAGACCGACCGGCGCTGGTACTTCCACCAGAACCGCCTGTGCCCTCCGCCCGTCTTCATCGCCGTGGTCACCATCGTGCAGGTACTGACTCATGTTTCATTGTACTTTCAGCGTTTCAATCTGTTGTTTGTGTGACCTACATGTAGCAGGGGTTTCCAACCTGTGGCTCAGGAGCTACCAGGCGCTCGCCACACCCTTCCATGTGGCTCCCCAAAGGATTAAGACATTTCAAAGAGTCCTTGAATATTTATTTTATGTATTTGTTTATTTATTTATTTGACAGGAACAAGTGAACACAATAAACATGTGAAACACTACAAAAATTATAGCCAAGACTAATTTTCAATAAGTTTGCTAGGCCTACACCTGTTATATATCTTTAATTTGGCATTAAAGATGTAAAGCACAGTTTATACAGAAGACAACTCAAGGTTCTCAACAAAACAAGATAGAAACAATAATAAAATCTCCAAATAATCAATGGTTTACAGCTAAATACCCAAAAAAAACAATCCAATTGCATTCTTCACCAGCATTGACTACATTTCTTTTGAACTGCCTAAATGAGTTAGACTGGCCTTATCCATCCATAAACTCTGGTCAATTACTATTTTCCTACATGTATGTCTGGCTCTGATCCTTGCGGCTGCAGTTTCCTCGGTTGAATCCCCTCTGACCAATCAGAGAGCGTAGGCGGGTGTTGTAGGGAGGTGTTGGTGACATCAAGAGTTTGTGCAGAATTTACAGGTTGTAGTTTGGCAGAGAATGCGATAGTAAAATAATCTGTTCTGGTTCGGCTCCAAATATCGAGAAATTGAAGGAATTTTTAGCAAATGTCATTGCTGCAAAGATGTTGTGGCTCTACTCCCCACAGGCTCTGTTAGTGGCAAAGGAGAGGGCTAAAGCTAGGCTAAATGCTAAATGCCTCACTCGGATGCATTACAAACGTTAAACTTAAAAAGATCCAATTGTTTCAATCTGCAAAAAGAGTTAACTCCTCCCACCTGTTACCAAATGAAGTGAGTACAATAAGACCAGGCTATAAAGAAGTAGCTCTCTTCATTTTTTGTCCTAAAAGTGTAGCTCTCAGAAAGAAAAACAGGTTGGAGACCCCTGATTTAGATCAACTTACAACTCATGACTACATTCTGTTTCTACTTTTACACACAGTAGCTTTGTACCAGAAAGCGGATCAATTAGGTCTGAATGTTAGCTGTGAATGCTTTGATGATGCCAAAAACACCGCAGCTGAAGAGAAAAAAAAACCGCCTGTTGTTCCCAATGCGTCCACTTTGTGCTGAAGGCAATAATAGAGTCATGATAATTATGATTCAGTGATTGGTTATTGTACAACAGGAGGTTTTTGGAGTAGCAGCAGATGTGGCAGGGCTTTTATTACGTTGAATACAGAAAGGGGAACATCTCTGGGTTCTGCGGTGGGACTATAACATGTGAGTGATTGTGTTTCAGATTATCGTGTTCATGTGCTACGGCATCATGTTGAACAAGTGGGTTCTGCAGACGTACCAGCCGGACTTCATGAAGAGCCCGCTGGTGTATCACCCGGGGCACCGCGCACAAGTGTGGCGCTTCTTCAGCTACATGTTCATGCACGTGGGGTACGCTTTTCAATGACCTTTTCTTATAACAATGTGAGAAATTATCAAATATGAGGTAATAATTGCTTATCTTAAAACAAGATTTGCCAATGGGACAAAGCCACTTAGTCTTTCTATCTAGTTTTTGTGTCCATCTAGTTTATTTAGGCCGTCAAAATGTGCTCAAATTAAGATACATTTTACAAAATGTGAGCCATTTCTGACTTATTTTTCATCACTTTTTGCAGTGTAGACTTTGGTTCAATATTTCATTGTGCTAAACGAGACTTCTTCTATGGTTTAGGGCTAGATATATTGTGTTTTAAGATAAGATAAACCTTTCTTTCAAGGTCATAGTTGCACACATTACAGCAGAAAAAGAGAAATGAGAGAACTCAGAACATGCACCCATCAAACAGGAACTGGTATTTAAGATAATAGATAATACAATAATAATATGATAAACTATGGAGATATAATTGCACTTGGGTCAAGGATAAGTACACCTTTTTTAACCTCTATGTAAGTCTGTAATAACTGAAAAATGAAATGAAAATGTATTTTAATCAAACAGCTCAATGTGCAACAAGTCCTCACTCTGAAGATGTTCTCCACGGGCAGCACTTAAACGATTATCAAAGTCATCTTTAATTACAGCCCTAGTATTACCTCATTTGACAGTAAAAAGAGTGTCCTATAGTTGCTAAGATTCAAACATTTTTCCATAAACTCGAGCCTGACTCTACCACAACAAAAATACATAAATCTATATGGGTTCAAATCGATTTTAAAAAGTAGCGGTTTATAGTCCAGCAAATACAATGTTCCCTATCCCACCAAAACCAATCAGAAGTCGGACCTATGTTAATAATTAGTGCAGATTGTAATTACCACTTAGAGATGTATTTGAAATGTAAGTTGTAATGTAAATATAATGTATTATTAATGATTATTATTGGGTATGGTTCTTTTTCTATACATTGTGACAGACAGCGGGTTTGATATTTCAGCCACAGCACCTCTATAGTTACTTCACCTCTCTCCCAGTTGCTTCTGATTCCACTTTTGACATCAGAAACACAAGCAAAGGTTGCCTCTAAATTGTCAAACTACTGCAGCTGCAGTTAATAATATATTTTGTATTCTATCTTTTTCTATCTTTAGTTTGGAGCAGCTGGGCTTCAATGCGCTGCTGCAGCTGATGATCGGCGTCCCGTTGGAGATGGTCCACGGCATCTTACGGATCAGCCTGCTCTACATGGCTGGAGTGCTGGCCGGTAGGTTCTCTGTTGTAAAAATAAACACATGTATTATTAATTATTCATGTATCGAGCAAACGTTTCATACTGTAAAGTTGAAAGCACATGCCAAAAGCGGGTTCCCCACTTAAAGAGGAGCACGCAGAGGTCCGCTTTGATGGCTCTTGCACTGTCAACAGTACAGTGCCCTAGTTCTGCTATTTGTCCTTTTATTCTTACTGCCACAATCATGTGATGCATCTGGCCTTTAGACGTAAGGCAAGGCATTTTATTTGTATAAAGCAGTTCATACACAACTCAATCAATCATACACAAGACAATCAAAGAATCATTAAAATCATAAATAATCACAGTACATTAAAAGGAGTGAAGATACAATCCTTCAGTTGTGGCAGCTTCACAGAACTGTTTTAACCTGGTTTGAGAATTGTCAGAGAAGAGAGGTGTCACATTTTCAGGAAGACTGTTCTAGATTTCAGCTGCATAAATCTAAAAAGCTGCCTCTCCTTGTTTAGTCCCAACTCTGGGCACCAGCAGGAGGCCAGTCCCTGTGATCCTTGAGTCCCAGCAGGAGGCCAGTCCCTGTGCTCCTCAGAATCCCAGCAGGAGGCCAGTCCCTGTGCTCCTCAGAGTCCCAGCAGGAGGCCAGTCATGTCACAGATGTACTTTGGTGCGAGGCCATGGAGAGACTTGTGAACAAACAGAGCTGCTTGGTTAAAGAAGATATATTATGTTTTAAAGTGTGGCTGGACCTAAACAAGATGAAATAAGTAGATTTTGCAAAATGTCTCCTTTAACTATTTGGTGGACCACTTTTTGAGTCACTCGATCTACTTGAATCTTGGAACTGAAATCTGCCTCATCGGGCCATCTCTATCACATGGTTTTAGCCACTTTCTCAACATCTGGTAGACGCCTTTGATAAACATTAAAACACATTTTAGCACTCCTACATATTGGGGAAAAAAATGACTTTCTTGAAGGAATGAGCATTAAAGCGTTAAAGCACACACTCCAGAGAGGACAGGGTCGACTGCAAGCGCTGCCTCCCTCTGACTTTGAGCGTCCTGGTTGATGCTCTGTGATAAAGGTGATCCTTGTGCTGCTGCTTTGATAATGGCAGCGTGGCTGATGTGGGACAGAGGAGTGACTTCAGAGCCCAGAGGTCGAGCCGCAGCTCTGCACATGTCTTTGTTGACAAGAAATCTCATTAACTCTCATTCTGCTCTGAGGCTCGGAGAGATGGGAACGTAGCATCCAGGCCCCATAGAAGATCAGAACGCTTTAATGGACAGTTTATATTTCATTTGTCAGATAAGTAAAGTAAGCGGTTAGTTTAGATATTAAAAAGTAACTGGAGTAACTGTATTTTTTTCATAATTAATACATGTTGTTTGTCCCAACAGAAAGAGTTTTGATCAGAAAACATCTTTTGCACTTTGTAAGAGAGATCCCTGTGAGTCAATGATATTTATTTTTCACTTTTCTTTTTGAAATATCCATGCGTAAAACATATGCATGTAAATTTAGTGATAGAACTAACTATTATAAGAGAGAGGAGCCAGTGAAATGGGAGTTTATACATTGTACCATTTCTTGTGGTTTGAAAATGAGGTATCCCAGTTTTAAAGGAAGACATTATGCATCCCTCATTCAATGTTTAATAATGTATGCTTTAATGACAAAATCAAGCACAATTCCAAACCTTAAAAAAAGGTCAGGAGAAAGAACAGGAGAGAGAACAGGAAAGAGAACAGGAGAGAAGACAGGAGAGAGAGTAGGAGAGAGAACAGGAGAGAGAACAGGAGAGAGAATTGGAGAGAGAACAGGAGAGAGAACAGGAAAGAGAACAGGAAAGAGAACAGGAGAGAAGACAGGAGAGAGGACAGGAGAAAGAACAGGAGAGAGAACAGGAAAGAGAACAGGAGAGAGAACAGGAGAGAAGACGGGAGAGAGAACAGGAGAGAGAACAGGAGAGAGGACAGGAGAAAGAACAGGAGAGAGAACAGGAGAGAAGACAGGAGAGAAGACAGGAGAGAGAACAGGAGAGAGAACAGGAGAGAGGACAGGAGAGAGAACAGGAAAGAGAACAGGAAAGAGAACAGGAGAGAAAACAGGAGAGAGGACAGGAGAGAGAACAGGAGAGAGAACAGGAAAGAGAACAGGAGAGAGGACAGGAGAAAGAACAGGAGAGAGAACAGGAGAGAAGACAGGAGAGAGAACAGGAGAGAGGACAGGAGAAAGAACAGGAGAGAGAACATTAGAGAAGACAGGAGAGAGGACAGGAGAGAGAACATTAGAGAAGACAGGAGAGAGAACAGGAGAGAGGACAGGAGAAAGAACAGGAGAGAGAACAGGAGAGAAGACAGGAGAGAGGACAGGAGAAAGAACAGGAGAGAGAACATTAGAGAAGACAGGAGAGAGGACAGGAGAGAGAACATTAGAGAAGACAGGAGAGAGAACAGGAGAGAGGACAGGAGAAAGAACAGGAGAGAGAACATTAGAGAAGACAGGAGAGAGGACAGGAGAGAGGACAGGAGAGAGAACAGGAGAGAGGACAGGAGAGAGAACATTAGAGAAGACAGGAGAGAAGACAGGAGAGAGAACAGGAGAGAGGACAGGAGAGAGAACAGGAGAGAGAACAGGAGAGAAGACAGGAGAGAGAACAGGAGAGAGAACAGGAGAGAGAAGAGCAGAGATCCGGTGCAGGACTTAGCAGTGTCAGAGTAATGCCGAGCCTGTCTCTGGGGAATTAGCTGGGGAAGTGCTGTTTGAGAAGAGGTTTGCACATTTTTGCTGGAGCCTTAGTCACAAACGCTGAAGGAAACGGGGAAAAGATGGTGGTGTTTCATGTTGTTTGGGCTCAGAGCAGAAGGAGTCAGGCCTGAGAGTCTGAGGAGAGGCAGAAACATGTGGCTTTCACACTTCAGCCTCAATCTCTGCTTTTAGCCACAATGTAAATATACAGGGATGTTGCAATAATTGTGGGTTATAGGTTAAAACATTAGTGGAGGATGTGGTAAATTTTTATCTCCTAGACCTATAAGATATTATATTGTTGCATCAGAATGGTATTAGCTTGTCTATCTCCATGGAGACAAGCGTGTAGCAGATCCAGGCAAAGTTACAGGTGATCTGTGGATAAATGTTTCAGTTTTAGTGGTGTGAGCTTTTTTGTAGATTGTACCCTCTCCATGTTAAAATATAGTTTTGCCAATATATTTGAAGATTCTTAAACTAAAATCATAGCTTTTCTGTGTCAATAGAACCGTGATCCCATAGAAAGACCCACTACATTGATAATAGACTTGAAAGCAACTCTGCTGGGACTCTGAGGAGCACAGGGACTGGCCTCCTGCTGGGACTCTGAGGAGCGCAGGGACTGGCCTACTGCTGGGACTCTGATGAGCACAGGGACTGGCCTACTGCTGGGACTCTGAAGAGCACAGGGACTGGCCTCCTGCTGGGACTGTGAGGAGCACAGGGACTGGCCTACTGCTGGGACTCTGAGGAGCACAGGGACTGGCCTCCTGCTGGGACTCTGAAGAGCACAGGGACTGGCCTCCTGCTGGGACTGTGAGGAGCACAGGGACTGGCCTACTGCTGGGACTCTGAAGAGCACAGGGACTGGCCTCCTGCTGGGACTGTGAGGAGCACAGGGACTGGCCTACTGCTGGGACTCTGAGGAGCACAGGGACTGACCTAAAATTTGAGACAGGCTTCTACTTCTAGTGACTTTTTAACTCAATGTTAAAACAGTTCTTTTTATCTCCACTCTTTTTTTATGTACTGTAATTATTTATGATTTTAATGTTCTGTTTAGTTAAGCCCTTTGAGGTGCCTTGTGTATGAACAGTGATATACAAATAATCTTACAATAACTATTCATCCAAGTGGCTCACTCCCTTCACACCAATGTATTTATCTATAACTTATATCTAAAACACTGCAATCCCTCTCATTTCCGGCACTTTCTGGTCATTAAGATCCCCTGATTGCCAAACCCAGTGTATGTATGTTACGTGGCTGTCAGACATCTTGCACATATGACACGCCGTACGTCTCTGCCCCCCCTCCGTTCACTGCTGTGGATTGTGAGCAAAGCGGCGCCTGTTCTGCCGCGGCGCACATCCTTCTGCTTTGATAAATGTATGATCGCTTGTGGATGCTGGAAATTGCGCCGTGCTTTAGATTTACAGCTCAGGGATATTCGGCAGTTTTCTTAACAGCTCCTTTCCTCTTCTGCTTTGGCGCCGATGGCAGTCTCATGTTTATATTCATGGGGTGTCTGAAGCTGCTCATAACCGCAGTCGAGTCGGATGCGCTGATCAGACTAGTGTAGTTTGGGAGTTACACTGACGCAGAGGGAGCTTTTTAAGGACTGGGAATGCTCTGGTTCTATAGTGGCAGGCTGGAGATATGTAATCCTCTGCGATACTATTTTACAAACGGGGTTACTTTATCCCCTTTTAATGCCACTTGTAATTAATGTATTTTATACCTGTAGAAGGGGCCGTGTCTTAATTCGCCATTTTATATCCTTTACCTTATAATATGCGTTCTACCGTCTCATTTTGACGGGCCAGTATTGATTACATATTAAAAGGATTTCTTATACATTTGACCAAAACGAAGCTAAACTGATTCCCTTGGAGAACATAATAATATAAATAATGTTTTGGTTTTGTATAGTGCTTTTGGACACAGCGGTGGTAATCTGTTATTGTAGCCACAGCTGCCCTGGAGCAGATTGACAGAGGCAAGGCAGCCCATTGGTACCATCAGCCCCTCTGACCACCACCAATCAATTTTAATTCAATTAATTTGTGTTTAGCCCTAAATCACAACAGCAGACGTCTCACACACACACACACACACACACACACACACACACACACACACACACCAGACCCATTAAAGGCAATGTGGCACCTGTTGTTCCCAGAGGTTTCCCATCACAGCACTAACCTGGCCTTACCTGTCACATTTGCAGGAAGACTGTTCCAGATTTTAGAAGT